ATCAACAGTGCAGAGCAAACAGCTATGGCTGATCCTCAGCCCTGCCCTAAGAGGACCTGGGTCTCACTCTTCCGAGGTAATCGAGGTAATCGCTGCAAGCACCTCTGAGAGAAAGCCGTCCTCAAGTTCTGCCCCCTGCCAGACAGTCCAGTTTCTCCCCGTATGAGTCTGGGTCCCCAGAGACTCGCCCAGAACTGGAGTTCAGAGCAGTTGGGAGCTTGTGTCTCCTTCCCGATTGAAAAAGACAACCGCGTCCTCAGTTGCCAGCCCTTTCTGCGTGTGCCTCCGTACCTCTGCACTTTACTTCCACACCCCCTGAGTCTCAGTGCGCTTTTCTCTTTCCTTCTAGTTGTAGAATTTCCACTAGGCCAGCCTCCCTGTGGTTCTGGATGATGTCTGTTTTGTCTTTTAGTTGTTTTTTTTTGAAGTCAATTTTGGTTTATGTTTACAAATAAAATTAACCAGGGAATAAATGTTGTTGGGTTCCTACAAGTCCTACAGGACAAGAAAGCTAAATCCAGATTGCCTACAAGTGGTACTTGGTAACATTATGCATTATGGTGTTTGTATTGGTTTGTTTGTTTGTTTGTTTGTTTGTTTATTTATCTAATTAATCCTCACCTGAGGATATTTTTGCCATTGGTTTTTAGAGAAAGTAGAAGGGAGGGAGGGAGAGACTTTGATGTGAGAGATGCATCAATTGGTTGCCTCCCACATGCTCCCTGACCAGGGACAGGGATCAAGCCTACAACCCAGGTAAAGCCTTAGATAGGGAATCTAACCACTGAACAACACCATCCAGGGTGCATGATAGTGTTTAAATCTCCAGAAATAATTGTCAGTGTGAGGACGCCAACTCTCTTTCAAGCAGCGTTTAAGCTTCTACCCTACACCAGGCACTTTGTAAGGCACTGGTCATATGTTTTAGTCCAAGTTCCTAAAAAAACAGAACCTGAGACAACAACTTATGTGCTAACACTTTACTAGGCAGAAGTAGGAATGAGGAGAACTGGGGAGTGAGCTAGGGAGTGAAGGACTCAGCAGGGAATGGCCCTGACCCTTAGGAGTTGACCTTCTTTGAAGAGAGGCATATGTGTAAATGGACATATAACAAAGAGTACGCAGCTAGTGCAATTTGGAGAAACTGACAGAGTGCCCTTGAGCAAAGAGGACAGAGCAGCTTATCTGGCCAATGGGAGGTGTGGAGACACAGGAGTTGTTCACACAGCAGGAAACATGTAAGTTCATTCTTGAAAGCTAAGTGAAAGGAAAGGGAAGAGAACACCAAGCAATATTAAGAAGGTATGGAACGTGGACAATCTGTACTAATGAGCCTGGTACTTCAAAAGAAGGGCCAGTAGCTTAGCACACCAAATATTTAGAGATCAAAAGGCTGATACATTGGCAAAAGACTCTTAAACAATGCAAGGTGCCCTGACTGGTTTGGCTCAGCAGATAGAGCGTCGGCCTTTGGACTGAAGGGTCCCAGGTTCGATTCCGGTCAAAGGGCATGTGCCTTGGTTGCGGGCACATTCCCAGTGGGGAGTGTGCAGGAGGCAGCTGATCAATGTTTCTCTCTCATCGATGTTTCTAACTCTCTATCCCTCTCCCTTCCTCTCTGTAAAAAATCAATAAAATATATTTAAAAAACAAAACAAAACAAAACAATGCAAGATAAGACACTCCATGTCTATCATCCCAGAAAGCCAAAACTTGATTTTATATCATATAGACCTGAGATTTTAGAGATGGCCCTCCCCAAATTAACTGAGCTTACTTGTAAATTTCCTCTTTACATCCAGGGGGAGAAAGAATGGCTAATATTTTGGACACACTAAAACCCACTCCATTGCAT